CTAAAACGTTTACTAGTGAAAACGGACCCTATTTATAGAATTTGCAATAGCCTTGAAAGGTAAGGAATAATTAGTACACTTAAAGAGACAGAAGCCAATCAGAACGCTAGCGGGGCGTACGAAATATGACCCAATCAATCAATCATTATCAACATAGGACCAGGCATTACTGCGTAACGGTCCAACTTGCCACACCTCATATCAGCACATCAAGTAAAAAGGTAGTGAGGTGAAGAATGAAGATAAGAAAATGCAGTCAAAAGAAATATAAAGTACGAGAAGAAAGGAAAGAGGAGTGACAAAATGGTGAGATTCGGTATAGCGTTGTTAAGATGAGGATAATGTGTGTATACATCTGCGCCACTGACTTCGGTTCTGAGCCATATCACCTAGGGTCTCCAACCACTGGTTCCTCTTGTCCCGTGGACCCCAACCACCTAGTCTGCATCGTCCTACATGGCTTAAACCAACAGTCAGAGACTTCATACATTGGTGCCATGTTTTAGTCTGGCCACCTCGGGCCTTTTTCCAGCCTGAACCCACCTCAGCCAACATTGTGTGACGAGGCAATCGGTGACTAGGCATACGTAGTACGTGTCCCAACCATCTCAGTCGATGAAGGTTCACAACCTCGTCGACTGACTTACCTCTTCTCCCTAAAACTCTACACCTAACTTCTGCATTACTCACATGGTGACACCACGGAATACGTCCTATACTACGAAGGCAACGGTGGTCAAACACCTGAACCTTTTTGTATCCTCCACTTTCAATGGCCATGTTTCACAGCCATACAGTAGAACAGAGCGGACTGCTGTGCAGTACACGCGACCCTTAATAGACAAACGAATATCACGGCGGCGCCATAGGTGGCGCAAATTGGCAAAAGCCAATCGAGCCTTTTGTATCCGTGCAGAAATCTCATCGGCAACTAACCCACCAGGTTGATCCTACTTCCCAGGTAAGTGAAGTGGTCAACACACTCAACCACTTCACTCTCTATTGTTAACCGCGGTACCGCTGAAGACCAGTCCTGGAGCAAAAATTTGCATTTGGGTGGTGAAAATCGCATCCCAAACATTCTCAAATTCCCACTCAAAGTGTTCAGAAGACTCTGCATCTTGTCAGCGTCTTCACCTAACAGGACTATGTCATCTGCATATTCTAGATCTAAGGAAAATTCACCTGTGATCGGGTCAACGTCTTGTAATTAGGTGACGAGAGGGAAACCTCCATAAGAATATCTATGATAAAATTAAATAAGAATGGGGATAGTGGGCATCCTTGACGGACACCACTTGATGAGTATAGCTCCCTGGACAACTCACCATAGGCTCTAACATGCCCACAAGTGTTCGAGTAGAGAGCTTTCAATAAGGTGATGTACTTACTAGGCACGCCTTTCAGTGACAGACACTGCCATAAGACTTCTCGATCAACGGAGTCAAATGCCGCCTTCAGGTCGAGAAATACAGCTATTGTCGGGCGTCTGTAAGCATGCCTATGTTCCAGGACCTGGCGCAGTGTGAATATTTGGTCGATACATCCACGGCCAGGTCTAAAGCCTGCCTGGTTTTCTCGGGCTTGCTGTTCCCGAGCTCCACTCAGGCGTCGGAGAATTATAGAACTTAGGATCTTAGACACTATGTTTGTCAGGCTGATTCCTCTGTGGTTATCACAAGAGGACTTCTCGCCTTTCTTGAAGACTGGGATGATGAGTGACTTAGACCAGTCGGAGGGGATCGTATTTGATTCCCATATACTGGCTAACACTTCCGTTAGCCTGACTAAGAGAACTCTACCACCATTCTTGTATACCTCAGCAGGTAGTCCGTCTGGTCCTGCTGCCCTTCCCCGTTTCAGGCTACCTACCGCTTTCTCAACTTCTTCTAGTGTTGGGGGACCTGTCTCTATGTCCCATTCAGGGTCCGACTGGATAGCGGGCAGCGCAATGGTGGCTGGAGGCCAGTTAAACTGTTCCTCAAAGTGTTCTGCCCATCGTCCCAGTCGCCTTCCCTGCGAGTGAATCGCAGATCCGTCCTTCTCCGCTATAACCTCACTAACTGTTGTTGACCATTTCCCCCCAGTCTCCTTAATAAGTCTAAATAACTGTCTACTGTTACCGATCGCCGCTGCCTTTTCCATCTCTTTAGCCTTTGCTGCCCACCACTGTTCACGATCGTTGCGCAGACTTTTCGTCAGTTATTTTTAAGTTGCGCTCGCTCTTCATTGTACTCAGAGCCTGCAGGGATGCATTCACGTGCATCCATTAGTTTGGAAGAAGCTGCTGATATCCACTGGCTCTTTTTAGCCATTATCTTGGAGTCGGCTACAGTCTCCAGTGCTGCTTTTACAGTAGACTGAAGATGGCACCAAGCTTCTTCTGGATGAGTGACAGTCTTTTGTTCCGATAACTGCCTAGCCAACTTCTCACTGAACACGGCTTTGGTGTTTTCGTTGTCCAGCAGAACTCGTAGTGGTTTTGTTGCCAAATTTTTTCTACGTCCATTGAGACGCAGGCATATACGTGCTCGGACCAACGCATGATCGCTGTCCAAACACGTACTCCAGAAGGAGCGGCAGTCTTCCACCGATCCTCTCCAGCGATGACTAATAGCAATGTGGTCTATCTGTGTCCATCGCTGAGTCGAGCTCGGTGGACGCCAGGTCAGACAGTGCCTTTCTTTATGTCTGAAATTTGTGCTGGCTAAAAATAGGCGGTTATCTGAGCATAGTTGTAATAGGCGATCACCGTTATCTGTACGTTCAGCTGGGATTCCGAAAGTGCCACCTAAGTGCCTTTCTGCCTCACTCAGTCTACCCACCTGTGCGTTGAGGTCACCTGCAACAACCACTACGTCCGAACGTTTGGCTTTCGAGAGGAGGTTAGACAGTTTATGGTAGAACTCGTCCTTCACTTCATCCGAACTACAGTCAGTGGGTGCGTAAGCAGAGATTACAAAGAGACAACGGCGAGTCTCACTATTCCTTTTAGTTCTCACTGTGCCGTTCAGCCTCATAGCGCAGAGGCGACTATCAACTGGGATCCAGTCTAGTAGTGAGTTTTCTGCCCTGGTGCTTAATGCTATACCTACACCTGCAAGACCACGAGAGCTAGCTATCGAATCTCCAGAAACTCGAAGGGTGAATTTTGCAGATTCACCAGATTGGTCAGGAGAGGTCAGGTGAATAACCACACTTGGGTCCTGTATGCGTGTCTCACAAACACAGCACACATCCATGCCCGAGTTGCTAGAGTCTTTGCCAACGAAGCCTGTTGGCCAATTTGACGGAGGGTGCGGACATTGAAGGCTCCAATATGTAATTTGGAGCGTGGTTTAAGGAGACCAGGGATGCTGTTCTGTGGACTCAGATCGTTGTCGAAGGCTGCAGAGGTAGGAGAAATTGAAGATGATGCAGCATCATTAATTAAGAGACGTGAAGGAAGATTAGAAGGTAATGATGGAGGAGGAGGATAGCAGTCAGAAGAAACTTGGGTGCTGACAGAGTTGTGAGGGCGGTTGACACTTCCCGGCTGCCCACACCGTGGAAGGCTATTTCTTCTTAAGGTACCTGAAAGAGATTTGTGTGACCGCAGAGCCCATCGGACATCTGCTTGAGGCCTGTCACACCCAGCCTTTTGAGTATGATTATTTTGAACTTTTGTATTTTTGGGGCCGGATGGTCGAAAGGAAACGACAAGTGAACCAACACCGCCGGCCCGGCAGACCGTGGGGCGTGGTGGAGTGTGTTATTTTTGGGGCCGACCTTTTCTAACCCCCCCTTCCACTGAGAAGGCAGCATCAGCATGGCACTGCTGGTCATCCAAGGGAAACACCTTACTGCTGTCACACCCCATCCAGCTAGCAGCAGTACGACTTCGCCCTCAGACCCCCATCATAGTGTAGCAATTTACACTATAACGGTAACTGCTTTTCGTCTAACCACTACCCAACAGACCTTTCTGGTATGGTACGACCTCGAGGGAATAAGCGTTCCACCAGTATAGCTCGTTGGGTCACTGTGACATGCGTGCCTGATCACCACGTCAATGTAGCAGCTATCGGTCGAGGGAAAACAGAGCGAAGTAAAACAGTTTAAATATACCCAGACTGTAAGTATGGAATATACAGAATTTAGGCATCCCTAACAGAAACAACAAGTGATTTTGAAATCTGTAAAAAGTAGCAATTCCATTTTAGTCTGTTTGTTAGAAATATCACACAGTGAAACAGTGTCTCGAAGTTGTAGAGTTACCTGATATGAATATGGACAATAAATTGTGTACGAAACGTTATCCAGTAAATGCTACTGTTTCACTGTGTGATATTTCTAACAAACAGACTAAAATGGAATTACAATCGACCACAGTGCCCAAGTTTTACTCTTATATTAATAAAAAGTAGCGAATCAGTAGTTATTTTTAGTGACGGTTTAGTGTTCTTTTTGGTAACGGCTTCGGATGCTGTTAACAACGGATAGTAATAGACCGGTGAAAAAAAAGTTAGCTGATGAACTGGTTGGTGAGATATTGGAATGATTTGAAGAAAACCGGGGAGAACTAACAAAATCACGAATCCTTATCCAAAACTCAGTAGCATGAACCCTTGACCACATATAGGATAAGCAACTCTTACTGTGAATTACAGGACTCCATGATTCAAAATACAGTAAGATTTTAACTATTTCTTAAAATTAACTACAAGAAATGCAAACAGTATTTCGTTTAATATCCAAGCCAAACAATGAAATGAAAAACGATACTTTAATATTAGGTTTATTGTTGAATCCTCTAGAATATTAGGTAGTCCAATAGTAGAAAACATTGGTGTTTACAAACAATGAAACTAACGTGTCTATCATACATCTCAAAAGCGCCAAAGAGAAGCAATTTATCCTATAATTGGGAAACTGCGACTAAAGGTAAGAAAAATTAAAATGATAGCTGATTTTGTCTCCTTTTCAAATCATTTATTCGATCCAGAATCGGCCACGACCACCTAAGGTAGTTTGGATGAAGTGAATTCACGCGTACCACCAGCCCGTACTGAACTTCTAGGTACATCGTTTGCTTGCAGATTTGATTTTTGGGAATGGCAAGTGTTACTGTACATTTTACAGATATGCATGTATCCCATATATGTATCTTTAGATGAGGAGTTGTAGTAAGAGTGAGCTGCTTTCATAACAGCTGAGCGTAAAAAACCTTTTAAGCTAAATCCCGGTATAAGTATTCTTGCAAACTGTGTTGCAGAATGATCATCTTCTGATGGCACCAATGAACAATACTCTTTGACAGACTGAAATACAATATTAAAAAAGTAGTTGACAAGTAAGTACTCGCTGCTAAAAGTTAACTTTGTTAAAAATGAAAATAAAATATGTATACTGAAGTAAACACAATAGGCGTAAGTAACATTACGATTGGTTCATCTACTGATATATCTTCAAAGCATGTATACATGTATCTTACTTGTTTCCACGATGGCAAGCTGATTAGCAGAACTAACTTGAGGCACGTAATAAAGATCTAGCAATTAACATTTCAAAGGATATGTAAAAGTTCGAAGGACATATTTAACGTATGCAATGACACGTTACATGTTACATTTATTAGAACTTCTTAGTGATCCTCACAAAAACACTGAGTTCAAGTAACACCTTATATTTGAGAAACGTAAAACGGATCCGAAACATACTCACATTTCTGATCAACACGTTTAGAAGACTCGAAATTTTGTCGCCGTCTTCACCTAACACGACAATGTGTATGCATACTCCAAGTCAACCAGACGCCACCTTCGGAGTAAGTCAATCCATGTAAAGCCTAAGGTTATATTCATTAACTCATCTAAAATAAAGTTAAACATAAATAGTTACAGCAGGTATTACAGCGCGGACCTCCGACTAGCGTCATTTCATATAAAAACTTCCTATAAGCCCACATACGGCTGTGCGAGTTTGAATAGAGAGCCTTGATCACGTTTCGTACCCACTTCACAGACACTCAATGTCACAACACCTCTCGATCGATAGACTTGAGCGCCGCCCTCAGGTTCAGCAAGATGGTAAGTGTTGGGTCCTGTAAAGTGTGACTGCGTTGAAAACCATTTCGAAGATCCAGTCGATGCAACCGTATTCAGGTTTGCGAGTAACCTGGCTTTCTCAACATTTAGTTCTCGGGCTCCAGTTACGTGTGGAATAACTATGGACCCCTAGGATCTTAGATAAATGTGGTTGTCTGCTTCTTTAGGATTAGCGTTGATCAAATTCGAACAGCTGATAGTGACCTGAATAACTGGGCCAAAGCCTTTGATTTCAGAACTAAGTGACGCAAATTACAATCAGTGATGAGACACCAGCTTTCTCATTGTTGCAAATACGCTCTACTGATGAGTGCCGATGTGCACGAAACCCAGGTTAAGGGCTTCCTATCTACTGCTTTTTAATATCTACCACAAAAACTTATCTGCCCAATGGAAGTTTCACGTTGGATGAACGTCAGAGTTGGTGAACTGTTGGTTTAGGGGTCAATTTTATTTGTGTGGGACTGTTTGAAAAATTACTTTGAGTAACTAATATTAATTCGTCTTAATTAAGGCCTAAGGTCGTTGTCTCAATGGGAAGAAAGCTGTTACTATCAAAAACAATCAAAGTAGTTAGTTAGCCTTATAGAATGGTAGTTAGATCTTTCCAGTCATCTTAAAGATATGCTGGAGGCAGTCACTTATCAACAATTCTTGTAACTCAAGACCATAGTACAAAACGTAGTGCATCGGGCCATAGGGTCACTGAACTTATATCACTCTAGTGTTATTTAGCTGTCTAATTTCAGGTGAATATTGGAAAACACGATGGAGGGGAAAGTTATTTTATTGACAAAATGTAGCAGGAGAGACAAACCTTACCAATTAACTGCTCATTTACGCCAAAAGCATAAGTAATATAAAGCCAGTCTGCATAGTGGATAATTAACTGCTTGGAGAGTTGCATTTTTTTGGAGGACTGTAGGGATTCAAACTTTTTCTGGAGGCTTATATGAAATAGGTATTAAATTCTTTCACCACCTTCATGCTTGTTTCCTTCTTTACACATACCAATAACTTACCCAATGATAATTTTAGGAAAGTCCACTGGTTTCTGATACTCAATATTTTCACCCCGAATCGAATCGAAATGTACTCAAGAGCCTTGTGCACATTCGTACAGTCGGCAATGAGCCAAACCTATTGTGTGAGAAGGGCTAGTGATACTATCTGGCTGCCCAAACCTCGGCAGGTGGAGCGCGACTGGAACTCCTGACCTATCGGTTGGAAATCATTTCACCAAACCATTGAGCCACAGCTCTACTATTTTCAGTCCACTACAAACTAATAAATACATAAGAAGGGATATTATCTCATCAGTTACAGATACCGAGCACATGTACACAAGTAGATCATATATCTAGTAGCCACAATTCAAAGTCATTAGTGCAAAATTACTTATCTTTTCATATGGGGCTGTGACTCATTAGTCTAGGCACTTGGTTTCAGTCATCAGGTCACGGGTTCAAACAACACCCAAACTCTCGAGATAGTACAATTAGCAGTTGCACAATAAACCACGTCGATCGAGAAGTCTTATGGCAATGTCTCTCAATCAGAAGGCTGCCACGTGATTACCTCAACTAGTTAGACGCTCTGCATCCGAACACCCATGAGCACGCTAGAGCCCATAGTGACTCGTGTACGTCGAGTAATGTCCGTAACAGATGTCAACTGTCCGCATTTTTATTCAACTTTCCTATAGGCACATGTATGAGGGTCTACCTCTCCTCGTCTAATTTCACAGGGATTGATCTTAGCACAGGAGAATCCTAAGAAAATCTACGGTACGCAGACATGGTCCTGTTAAGAGAAGATGAAGTCTTCTGGACACCTTAAGTGACAATTTGAGAATGTTTAGTATGCGAATGTCGCATTCAAGTCCAAACTGTCCCTCAAAGACTGGTCTTTACCAGAGTCTTGCTCAATAATAAGGAGCGATGTGGTTGAGCGCGTTGACCACTACTCTCACCTAGGAAGTCAAATCAACTCTGGTGGGTCAGTGACCGACGAAACCAGTACACAGACTCAAAAGGCTCGATTGACTTTCGCCAACCTACGCCATTTACGGAGCCGCCGTGTTATCCGATTGTCTATAAAACATCCAATGTACAAAGCTGGGGTCCGCTCTGTCTTGTTATACACCTGTAAAATATTGCTACCGAAGGTAGAGGATATGAGGCTTCTGGTGTTCACCCACCGTTCCTTTCAGTCAAATAGTTCGTGTGGCATAGTAACTCTCCAACTCTATTCAACAATTTCCTACCTCCGACCTTGAAAATGTAAGATAGTAGGATATGACGACCTGCCACACTGGAGGTACGAAATTATTCATTAGAGCAATGGAAGTGCTAGACAGTGTATGGAAACCACAGGTTGTGATGTCAGACTGGTCTACTTCACTGATCATCCCAGTCTATAAGAAGGGAGATAAGTCTTCTTGTGATAACCATACTGGATGAATTAGTTTGAATAATGTTGTGTCCAAGATCCTAGGGTCCATGGTTATCCGACACTTAACTGGAGCTCGAGAACAGTAGACTCGAGAAATCAGATAGGTTTCAGGCCTAGACGAGAATGGGTCAACCACACCTTCACTCTTCAACGGGTTCTGGAGTACAAGCATACCCACCGGCGGTCGACACTTGCCATATTTCTTGACCTGAAGAGGGCACTTGAATCCATCGACCGTGAGGTGTTGTGGCAGTATGTGATTGTGAGAGGAGTAACATGGAAATATATAACACTAATCAAAGCTCTCTACTCGAAGTCGGGCAGTCATGTAAGGGCTCTTGCAGATTTATTATGTGAATTGACGACAGCTAGTCGTGTCCACTGTCACGGTTTCTGTTTAATTCCCTGATAAGTGTACTAGTGAACATAAGCATAGGTACGTCTGACTTCACAGGGATTGATCAACTCTCTGGAGAGTATCTAGTTGACTTGGAGTATGTAGACGACACTGTCCTGCTAGGCGATAACGCCGACAAAATTTAGCACCTTCTGAGCCCGTTGAGCAGAAATATGAGTACGTTTGGCATGTCTTTTTTACTGGTACCTATCAGATGAAGAATGATCCCATAGGACTGGTCTGAAACTACTAGTTAATTGATGTTCAGTGAAGGGCTTGAACGTGTCAACAACTTTATTTGATCAAAAGTTGCACCAGCTTAAACAGGCTGGTTGCTGACAAAGTACCAAGTCAAGTAAAAAAAAGAGGTTTGTTTGGCATTTGCCAAGTTTCTTCACCTCTAGCGCCGACTGACGAGATATCCGACCACCTATTAAAGGACGGGTATACTGCACTGCAGTTCGTTTTATACTTTTGTGCGGCTGAGTTATGGTCGCTGAAAGTAGATATAAAGAGACTGCAAGCTTTTGATCATAGGTGTCTTTGTAGGATTGCTCAAGAATGGTGGAACCACCATGTGAGCAACATAGAGGTCAGGAGAGAAGTACTAGGCAAGGATGAAGAGTTGGTCACTTTGGCTGCGAACTTTCAGCGACTTAACTGGTTGAAACATATGTTACACATGCCTAGCCACCATTTGCCAAGTCACTCTGTGTTAGCCGAACTAGATTCAGATAATAAAAAATTTAAACGCGACCAGACTAAAACCTCGCCTGGTTAATTAGTTCACTATTTACTAGTCCGGGTAAACAGGGAAGGTTGGGCATACGGCTACCAACCCTACCCCGGAAAACAAATATAACCGCTAAACAAACTTCAAAGCACAAACAAAATATAAAAAATAAAAACAAAATTATTCCTCCCTGGAATCGGAGAGGCGAAATGACGCCAGTTGGTGAAAGCCTGCCTTCGGGAAGCCGATTGACCAATGTGTCTTCTCTTCCTCGAAGAAAGCAAAAGTAAATGTGGGGACATGGAATGTCCGCACCATGTTTGAACCCAGCAAGGCAGCCCAGATTGCGAAAGAGATGAGAAGGTATAACATCGAAGTGCTTGGAATTTGCGAAAGCAGATGGAATGGGAGTGGACTCTCCAAACTGTCAACTGGAGAATCAATAATCTACTCCGGTATTGTCACCCAGACGACAACCACGAGCACACTGAGTTCTGGAGTGGCTATCATGATGTCCCTAACAGCATCGAAGGCTCTCTAGCATGCAGTGGGAACCAATCTCCTCCTGCTGGATCATGACAGCAAGATGGATTCAACTCAAAAGGAAGGAAGGTCACAGTCATACAATGCTACGCTGTGCACCTACAAATAATGCAGAGCAAGAGAAAAAGGAGGAATTCTACAGACAACTGCAATCAACATTGGACAAGACCACAACTCAGTTGGCGATATCAAGATCCATTCTAATGGGCGACATGAATGCCAAACTGGGAGGGGACAACACAGGAAGAGAACTAACCATGGGTCGAGAAGCTCTCGGTGAGGTGATGAACGAGAATGGAGAGTTGTTTGCAGAATTCTGTGCATTCAACGATTTCGTGATTGGAGGCAGTGTGTTCAAGCACAAAGATATCCACAAAGTGACGTGGATTCGAGTTCACCAGATGGACACACTAAAGATCAAATCGACTTTATCTCAATCTCAAGAAAATGGAGACGCAGTCTACTTGACACAAGGTCAAGAAGAGGAGCAGATGTAGGTTCACATCACTCACTATCTAGTGCAAGGAACCTTCCAAATCAAGTTGAAAGCCTTCAATGAAGCTGATGATAGACCACAGTTCAAGTACAACACTCGGAAACTGAAGGGTGAAACTACAAAGGAAATCTTCACGTCAGTCACCAGGACAAAATGAGAGATATCGAGCAGCATCCCTGAAGAAACCTGTGTGGATGAGCACTGGAACTCTTTGAAAGCTATATGGAAAGAAACCTACATAACCTTATTAGGAAGGAAGAAGCAAGAAGATAAGCAATGGATCTCGATGGACACATGGAAGCTGACAGAGGAGGGAGAGGAGGATGGTGAAGCAGAAGATAAACCAGTGCAAGGATGCTCAACGACAAGAGGAACTGAGCACAATGTATAAAACACTACACTGGACAAAGAAGTGAAGAAGAGTGCTCGCAAAGACAAAAGACACTTCTACGAAACACTGGCAAGTGAAGCAGAACAGGCTGCAGGTAAGAGAGACCTGACAACATTGTATCAAATAACCAGATTACTACCTGGGAGAGAAGAGATCAACACAGATGAAACCAATAAAAGATGAAGAAGGAAATTTAATTATGAGAGAAGAGAAACAAAGGAAACAATGGGCCGACCACTTCAAAAAGCTCTTGAATCAACCACCACCACCACCTGCACTTGGTCCAGAAATACCACCAGCAACCCAGCCGCTGAACTACAAGTGAACATAAATCCTCCAACAAAAATGGAAGTCCTGAACACCATAAAGCTACTGAAATGTGGGAAAGCAGCAGGACCAGATGGGATCCCGCCAGAAGCACTGACAACAGACGCAGAGACAACAGCGGACATGCTCACACCACACCACTATTGCAGAAGGTGTGGAAGGAAGGGAAGGTACCTGGCCATTGATTGGAAGAGGGGTTACCTTGTCAAACTCCCGAAGAAGGGACACCTCAGTGCTTGCAAGAACTGGCGAGGAATCACTCTCCTGTCCACCCAGAGCAAGCAAAATATTAAGCCGCATCATCCTGGAGAGGCTAAAAGATGCACTGGATTCAAAACTATGACTGGAACAGGCAGGCTGGATCCAGGAAGTACAAATCATGTGCGGACCAAATTGCAACGCTTCGCATCATCACAGAACAGAGTATAGAATGGCAGTCAACTGGATCTTTACCTCAACTTCATCGACTTTGAAAAGGCCTTCGACAGCGTCGACCAAGAAGTAATTTGGAAACTGCTCCAACACTACGGAGTACCGCAAACCTTTATCAGCCTCATTCAACAACTATATGAAGATGCCACATGACAAGTAATTCACAATGGGAAGCTCAGCTCAGTGATGCCTTTGAAGTGAAGACAGGCAGGAGTGAAACAAGGTTGCCTACTATCCCCCATGATATTCCTGATTGTGGTCGACTGGATCATGAAGCAAACAGTGGGGAGCGAGAAGAGGGGGATACGCTGGACGACGGAAAAGAACCTAGAAGACTTGGATTTCGCCAACGATGACTTGTGCCTCATGTCACATAAACTTGAAGATCTACAGGCGAAAACTAACAAGTTGACAGAAGAGGCGAGGCAGCGAAGACGGGACTTCAAGTGAATGTAGAGAAGACAGAGGTGATGAAGATACCTCACCACCAACAACAAACTCCAATCACCATCAATAGGAGAAACTTAAAGGAAGTAGCCTACTTCACCTATCTAGGCAGCACTGTTTCAACTACAGGTGGTGGCACAGGCACAGACGAGGATGTAAAAGCCAGTCAGAATCGAAAAAGCAAGACAGGCGTTCATTAGCCTGAAACCAGTGTGCAGATCTTCTGCACTCAGCATAAAGCGTGAACAAGATCCGGATTTTCAACACCAACTCAGTCAAGTCAGTGCTTCTGTATGGTTCAGAGACTTGGCGCGTCACGAAAGGCATTTCCAATAAACTACAGACATTCATCAACAACTGCTTACGCTCACTCGCTACTGAAGATCAGATGGATTGCCAGAAAGAATAAGCAACAAGGAGCTCTGGGAACGAACCAACCAAGAACCTATCACCCAACAAATATGCACTGTAAGGAAGTGGAGATGGATTGGGCATGCACTGAGAAGGCCGACGGGGACATCACGCATCAGGCCAGTTGCTCGAGTGGAATCCCCATGGGAAGCGACGAGTTGGACGTCCTAGGTGAGGGTGACATGGAGGAGATCGTGCGATGAGGAAATGAGAGCTTCTGGGCTGTCGTGGAACCAGGTTCAAAAGATCTCAGAGAACAGAAGTCACTGGAGACGTGCTACTGAAGCCCTATGTTCCACTAGCAACCCAAGGGACTATTAATAATAATAATAATAATAATAATAATAATAATAATAATAATAATAATAATAATAATAATAATAATAATAATAGACTAAAACATAGCATCAGTCCTTGAAGTCTCACGCTAATGGTCTGAGTCAAGTATGAAATGCGAAATTTCCAGTTGCGGTCCGCATAACAACAGAAACTAGTGGTTAGGAACTATACGAAATGGCTTAGAATCGATCTCAGTAAAACAGAAGTAACTTCACACTGGCTTTATTTTAATCGTCAAGTTGAATTTCCCTATTCCTTCGTTCAACCTTCCTTCTTTGATGACTTCGTACCAGTTTTGACTGTTCTCCTCTCTACTTTTTTATCTTCCATCTGAATGCATTCTCGCTTGACGTGATGTCAGGCGTGGCTAGTTGGATTGTTATGCAGTAATGCTAAATTCTATGGTGATACTTCTTCGGTAACAAAAAAGTGGATAGTCAAGTTTTAGGTGGTGTCTTCACCGAAAGTGTTAGAAATGGATATAATGCCTAGTCTCTCGGCGTTTTGAAACAATGTGAATCATCAATATACTTGGAATTAAATGTTAGGGTTCGAAGAGTTTTTTAAAGTTCAGTATTACAGAATTAACCATAAAAGTGGATAGTATAAATTATAACTTCATAATTCTCAAATCCTCCAAACTTATAAAACATACCAAATGTAGAAGACACAACATACCTGAGAACTAGCGCAAATTTTCATGGAAAGTATATTCACATTTTGAAAAATGAACGCCGTTAGCCACACAGGTATCGGTTTGGCTTAACAGCAAACAGGCCAAGAGTACTTCATAAGTTGCTGGACGGTGTGAAGAATTACACCAGCAAACTATTTCCAAAATCAATAGTCTAGAGCTCGACGAGATTCAACATTGGTGCTAACGTTTTGAGTTTCGACCGAATGGCTAGGCTGAAGGCGTGTGGTCAAGCATCCACTCTACTTGGCACATTACTGGGTTACATTGCAATGCTCATATGCGACCCTCGAACCAGGTAGAAGAAGCGCATCGGTATTTTCGCACGTCCTATCAAATATACTATTTCTACCTAATTGCACTGCGTCGTTTCTGGAGTTGTGGCTCATTCGTCTAGGTATTTAATTCTCAACTAATATGGAACGGATTCAAACTCCATTCCAACTCCAAAGGTTTAGGCAGCCAGGTAATATCATTAACCTTCACAAAAACAGTTGTGGCTTCTTGAACACTGAACATTGTTGCTGAATATATTTCGACTCCCCTGATCTCCCACCCGTGGGTATTTTACAAGTACGAAGAACTAATGACTGTTCTCTGCATCTGTCAGATTCTCGTAAGGAGAATTCCTGAAACCTTTTTATTCTGTTGACGACCCTACTATCTTGTTTAACACACTCCAAATAAAGTTTAACGCGTTTCAAGTGTTCGGCAAGTGTGGTTAATGGACCATCGTCCTTAGGTACATAGTCAGCTAAAGGTTACTCCTATCACCTTTGATCAAGGTTTAGCATAGGAAAGATGAATCAGTATTCTTAATTTTTTAAGTTACATAGTATATATATATATATATATATATATATATATATATATATATATCTCTTTATATGGGTACATACCCACATGTGCGTTCCAACTTAAAATACACCATTTATTTTGGCAACTACTGTGGTCCGACTTTCAATACTAATATGCACAACACCTGCATGACAACCGAAAACTTACCAAGTATTTTTTACTAGAACCAAAGTTTTCCGAAACCCCATCTATTCGTTTGGCCTTAACATCAATGATAGACTCCTCAACAACTGGAACCTGGCCTTTTGGGATAAATCTCAGCATGAATTTTGGAATTATTTTCGAGATCTTAATTACTAACCGTTTAGTATACAACTTCCCATCTGGTAGAAATCTCCTTTCCAACACGTCTTCAGATAAGACATGTTTCCTAACAACGTACATAAGATTTGGAAATAAGGACATACGCATATGGATTTGGATAACGCTCCCAGAATAGTGATGTTACAAATCCCCAAGGAAATGACAAATATTGTGTTACACAGACAGTCATCAGGATAAGCAACGCACTGATGTAAAGAGGGCGCTCCAACATTCAATATCTTTCTACGTGCTAGTATCCAATATCTTTTAACGAGCTAGTGCAAACCAATTGATCTCTTTGCGCTCACCCCTAGGTCTTGCGAAACGGTTTC